CTTAATGAATTTTTTTCTATACAGGGAGGTTTAAAAAAAATATTTGAACAGTTTGCCCAGTAATGTGACACATAATGCATGTACCTTGTTCTCATGTAATCTTCCAAGGAGACTAAAATATGGTTAAAATAATTTAAACTCAGGTTCTGCTTTAATAGTGTTGCTGTTTTGTTCTCTGCATTAACGTAGTTCTGAAAAGTCATCGTAATCTGCATTTCATGGCACACTTTCCTTTAAAATGTCCAATTTGGCAGGCAATAGAAAAAAAGGCTGCAACCTCTGCCCTTTGAGGGCACCGGTAGTGACTAAATAGCATATCAAATTTTGAATACTTTTTGGAATCCCTTCCCCAATGACATCCCTGACCAAAGGTTCATGCATGATGCATCATCACACAGTACATTCAGAGAGAGCTTTGACTTTTTTTTTTTTTTTTTGAGAAGAAAAATATTCCTAGAAGTCTCTCACAGTAACTGCCTCTGTCATCGGGTAGTTAAGGGACATCTGTCTCCATCTCGTGCGAGGCCTCCTTACCGTTCGCTTGGGGCGGGACACTAGAGGATGATCAGTGCGGAGGGATGAGTTGGACCTTATTGCTTTACTACTATTCAGTGCAGGTTCTAGAACCACTTTCACCCAAACAGGAGAACAACAAAAAGCGGAGTTGGAGGACAACAATTTCTTTGTCTGTTTTGTTAGATGGTAAGACGAACGGACAAGTGCCCCAGCTCGCTGCACTGAAGACAGGCAAGCAAAGGCGTTTACCAGTTAACTGATCAGCAGGCAGGCATGGTCAGGTCATCATTGGGTGAAGAGTTCAGAGGTCAGAAGGTCATAGGTTAGTTGCCGGTGGCGGCTGGGTGGTTAGAAACAAAAAAAAAAAAAAAAAAAGAAAGAAAAGATAGAGAAGAGATTAGTTCCAGCTAGTGACGGCTTAATGACAACATGAAAACTAATCACAACTAATAAAAAAAACAAGCATGTTTAATTCTGACATACTGATCGACACCATCTACAGAATGCAATAAAATCATGACAGCCCTCCATCATGATTTGGACACGTGAAGGAGAAGCCCGCTCCCACAAAACTGGTTAACAGGAGAAATAGAGATAAATTACGACTAACGACTAATGGTTAGTAGCAGTCGATGAAGGAAATTGGAAAACAAAAAACAATGAACAGTTTTGGAACTGGGTAGAAGATTTCTGGAACAACAGTCAGTGCACAGCATCAGTATCTGACTGCTATTAAGCATTAGTACCTCCCCAGGTGCAAGCATTAAAGCAACTATTAATGATGGATGTGATTATTAATAACTGTTTGTTAAAAGAATGGAGTCATCTAAGGAATTCTGGACTTAGAGAAACAATTTGGTTCAACAAACTATGGGCCAAACAAAGGGTTTTTGTTCAATAAATTTTTTTATTGCCTTTCATTTATTCTATTTACAAACAACATGGAATTTCTTGGCCTCATGACACAAAGCAGTACTAAACTGTAGTCTAGCAACGTAGGCATCATCGTGGGAATCAGGAAAACGCTCAGCCTGCTACTTTAGCCAGCATTTTCCTATTCAAAATACTATTTTACACATATAGGACACTTATAAAATGCACTTGCATGTAAACACTGTAAAAGTCCTGCCATTTTAAAGTCTATACTTAAAAAGCTCTAAGTACATCAAAAAATAGAGAAAATATCTAATTGATACTAATAAGGCATTTTAAAACTACAAACAGCTCTCTTTATTCATTTTCAAAGCTAATACTCTGCAAATACAATAAAATCTGACATTTCATATACATTTTTTTTCTGCTTTATATTTTTATATTTTAAAAGAAGCCACCTGTAAATACTATTTTCTCTTGCAAAAAAATCCCAAAAACAAAAAACAAAACAAAAAAATAAAACCCAAAAAACCACAAACAAATTACAGTAAAACATAAAAAAGTTCTCAAGTGGAAAGTTATCATTCCCAATGTTCTTGAGCTGTTCCTTCTTTAATCAATCATTCTCTCACATTCTCCTTCACCAAACTTGGTCCACTTAACAGTAGTACGATATTTTTTTTTAATATATATATATTTTTTAAGACTCATTCAACAGCTTAATTGTAGCTAATAAATTCTGAGGTTGATAAAGTTTTTGTACTGTTGCCATTTTGACTAAGGCAGAGGAGATGAAAGTGAGAAAGGTATTCAGTGCAAAGTTAGATTTGTGCCATTACATAAAATGAAGTCCAGTAGGTGTAATATTCACAGATAGCATCGATTTAGCAATCTTTCTTATGGGCTGATTTACTTTCACATAATAAAAATGGCCTATCATTTAAGATACAGTTCATAACAGTACAAAAAATTACTACTGTAACGTAAATGAGACCACATGCTCCCTGATTTTTTTCAGAATCATGTAAGTGGGATTTGTTTAAATTAAAACTGCTGTTTCAAAAATAAGCAAAAATAAAAATAAATATTTTGTGTGGCACAATCTCACCACTTTACAGGTATACTAGAAACACAGACTCTTAAAGCATTTTGATACTGATTACAATTTGGATTAAATGGTATTAAAATTCATATATAAATTATGTGACAGTTGGTTTGGATAAAACATTCAAGAAAATTCTCAGCATTAATATTTCTTGTGGAGTTTATAATCAAAGCAAGCTACTTTTTAAAAATACCAGTACACCTGTGATACATCCTCTGCCAAGTCTCCGGCCTTCTACAGTACACACAGGTTTGTCAACTGTGCAACACCATTTACAGTTTATTACAATTAAATCAGTCAGTCTTTCTGTTATACGCATCAAATTGAATTTTGTATTATTTATAAACTGGGGTTTTATTCTGAGTTAAAACGAGCTATACTTTTCAACCCTTCACCAATTCTAAATGCTTAGTTGTAAGTGTAATACATTTACACATTTGGGGATTCTTGCTTTAAACGCAGTGCTTAACTCTTAAAAAAAAAAAACCTATGCAAAGAATTAAAACCTACTTTAAAAGTGAATGCAGTAGTACTACAAAGTCGATTTAGAATTCTAAAAAAAAGAAAAAAACTTTAGACCCAATGAATGCAAATATAGATTTAGTGACATTTCACTATATAGAAGTTGCCACATTGAAAAAAAAAATATTTCGGTTTGCTGACATTGTTTTTCATAGCTATAGCTGCAGAATTATACTGGTGACAGAAAAACCAAATAAGTGAATATGGTAAGTACTGATAGCATTTTAATTCTACCACATAATTTTAACGCATTAAAAGAAACTTTTATTGCTGAACAAAGTTCTCTTCAAAACCTTTTGTGAAACTGTGAAATGTGAGCAGTGAAAATCTAGGATTTCAAATTCAAAATATACTGAAGTACCGATGTAAAATTAACTTCATGTAAATTTCTTAGTACACACTGGGATTATTTAGATAAGACTTTACAATAACGTTCTCCTGAAATATCAGCATGGTTGTCATGCTAAGAGAGAGATATCCATGACTTACTCCACAGGACAGAAGCCATGTGTATTTACCTATTTACTTAAGACAGCGGGCTCCCACTCTGGCTAGGTATGAACACTGAATTACCAGAAAATGGCTGTATTTTAAAAGCAGCTGAAATGATACCAACTATTAATTTAAATTACTTATAAGTGACTCAGATGAAACATCTAGGCCCTTCACAAAATAATTAAAATCTATGTTGAGTAAACACTGCAATGATGAACTTAAATTATCAATTGGTATTCCCACCACCTCCCACCCACCCCATGCTTTACCGGTGTATTTACTAGTTGTCTCAGGCAAATACCTAATTAAACAAAAAGGTAGTCTCACCTTTCACCTGAAACTACCACTGCAGATCATGAAAGACCATTAGCAAAAACTGTTTTCTGCAATATCGGGTCAAACTTTCACACATAACCAAATCCTTACCACTCGTTACTTCTGACAGAGATAAGTTTTTATCTTTTTTCCTACTTCCTTCGTTTAACCTTTTGTTTTGGTAAACGTGGGCTATGACCTTATTCTGATTATACCCTGCTGCCCAATGAACAGTTCTCAAGAAATGAGAACAAGCCAATGGGCTGTAAATAGTGTGCGGTGATACAGAAGAAGCAATCTTCTAGAAAACCTTAGTGTCTTGTGGTCAGCCTTACACTTTCTGTAAAGCATAAGATCTTTACATATGAAAGATGAAAGTGTTACATAAATACAGAAAATATCCAGGAGGGCCCTTCTGACTGCACTGACTGAAATCTGTATTGTTTCTAGTAGTTAATTTATGGGAGGTTGTGAGAAGTGAAGTGCAGTCAGTGTTAGGAGATGTCAGATCTGTCACCTGAATTTGACTTTTAATATTACAATATCATGGAGGCCTGCACAACACTCATTTTGATGAGAGCAGAATAATAATACTTGGCACGTAACGCTTTGCATCCTCAAAGCCCTGTACAAAACAAGAACCCCCACAACACCCCTGTGAGGTAGGGAAGTATTATTATCCTTATTTTACAGATGGGAAAACATACACAGAGAGATTAAATGACTTGCCGAAACCCACAGTGAGTCAGCAGCAGGGATGGGATAAGAATTCAGCCCACACACTGCTTCCTAGCCAATGTCAATAAACCGAAAATATCACTTTTCTCAATAAGCTTAAATACTTCATTCAGGGGTCCAAAGGCATTACACTTGAGGAACAGGAGAAAAATGAAGATTTACTTTCCATTCAAGGATTAAAGAGAGATGCCCAAATATTGGATGTCATCTCACCAACAGGACTTCAAAAGTTGCTTCTCCTTCAGGTTACACATTTTAGCAGCAAAAGGCAAATACCAAGAAATAGATTTTGGCAAAAAACCAAAACACCCTCCCTTCCCGCACCCTTAGTAAATCAAACTCAAACAACTTTTGAAGTGTTATCTTCACAGCCCTTACCTTTCTTAATTCAGTCAGGTATCTGAGAACATGCATCCTCCTCATAATATACAGTACAGTGGCTCAAAAGTTTATTGGAAAAAAAGGAATCTAAATCTTCAGATTTCTCCAGACACAGACAGGAGGCATTTTTTCCTTTACTTCTTTCTCATTAAGCAACCATCCATTCATTTTGTTTTGCAACACCAGTCTGATATTTCCACACCAATTAAAAGAACAAATTGGAGGGGGGGGGAGGGGGCGCACGGAACGCGACCAAATTAATTATTGCAGTACTGAATTCATAGTGTTTTCTGATGCAAATGGATCTTTAAATAGTTTTTAAAAGGGAATCAGTTATAGAGCTTACGTTAAAGAGATCACATATTTTATATGTTTAAATGAGCTGGGAAAGCCAAGTTTACAAAATATTTTTAAAACCACAAGCATTCCCAAAGCTCTAAAATTTTTGAGAAAAATAATTAATGGGTAAAAATAGGGTATTTGGTTAACCAGCCGTGGTGTTGCAAATCTCATGTATACTCAAAGCACTTCTTACAAACAAGAACTGCAGAACTAAACTAACCTCGGTCTGCGGTCACAATCCTTTGGTAAGGATGGACACGCATATCGTGCCTTCGAACTTTAGTAGCCACCGCACCTAGTTAAATTGCAATTACCAAGACAAAGTTAGAAAACATTCAAAGAAAACATTAACAGCAGGTTTATCAAAATGGATTTAAATGATCATTAACTACAAAAGTTCATTTTAAGAAAAGTAACAAGTTAAGGCACAGTAGTTTCAAATCTTAATCATAAAAACAAGTTTATCTGTGCAGATTAATATTGCAATTATTTTAAACATCCTGGCCTTAACCTGTTTAATCCATTCATTTACAATCCCAAAATTACAGTATTTCATGAAATCTATTAGACCCAAGCACATTTAAGCTTTACTAGTCACATATTCACTGAAGTGCCTTTCTTGCAGCAGGACTATTTTAAATAATGCCATCTTTTAATACTGACAATTATTTGCTAACCTTAAGATCACTTCCAGTTCTACCACAAAAAAAGTTTTAAAGCAATTCTTCAAACCTACAGATTGTGATTTTAAACTTTAAGTCAATAAGTATGAACTGCAATGAATTAGGTGATTAGTAAAGCAAACACTATATAGAACACTTAGCAGTCAGTATACTACTATACACTCATAAATTACAGCTACTCTGTAATAATAGGAGCTAATCCAAATTAATAGCACTATTTTATTTTAAATCTATGTGCAAAAAAAGTGCAAGTAAGTCACTGACTGCTAGGCCAAGCTTTTTTCAAGGCTGCTGAAACTAAGCATTTGTTAAAATTCAGATCTGATGAAGGATCAGTTAAGACCGTTCTTGAATTCTTAGCCTTTCGTTGGGAAAGCCATACCTGAAGATAAAAGGAAGGGAATTAAAAGTTAGTCACCAACTAAAATTTGATCCCAACACCAATATCCCCAGAAATACTAATAGGGATGCATTTTGCTGCCATTTTTTACAGAATTAAGACTCAAAGGTCCACCACAAAAATGGACAAAATATAGCCTACTATTAATGAGAATGACTGCATTACAAAATAAAACTCAACGAAAACTTTATTAAATTCAATCATCTCTAGACAACTGCTCAGATAACAGAGCAGATGTCTTAAGGAGTTATTGATTCTACTCCTAGAGGGAGGGAGTGGGGTGGGATGTGTGCTCTTCCCCCAAACCCCTCTTCCTTTCCTAAATAAAATATTTTGGTGAGATCTGTTTTGAGCAATACACTTGTCCTCTCACAGCTAAGCCCAAAATTATGCAACAACCTCAGATTTTTGGAGTAATTTTCCCTTCCTCTCTCTTTATAAAAAATCCTGTGAGAAATCAAAGTTCCCTGCATCGTATTAAAGTATTAATATGGAGGAATGTATTTCTTTACTTGTGATTAACTGAATTCAGGAGAGGGTTCTGCCACTAAACGGCAACTGATTGGTACTGTGACAATGCCTGGAACTGACTTCACCCCAGGATGTATCGCAAGCGGACTCGCAGAAATTAAAAAATGATGCCACTATCATATGCTCATTGAACTGTGGCTATGGGATAACAGACAACAACCATAAGCTGCTCAAAGACAGACCTACTGCACACTATTGTCCTATGAAAAGTTTTGTTACTGATTCATTAATCCTGCAAGGTGGATGTCTGAAATACAATTTCTTTTTTAGTGTATAAAATACAGCGTGGGAACACGCACACATACAGATAACCCAACAAGTGTTTGTCATGGGAAACACTGACTGTTTGTTGGTGTTTTCTGCAATACTTTCAACAAAATATTCACTGTGAACTTTATTGTCCCGTGTTCATTAGAGGTGTTGAGAATTTGTGTAAATCAATAACTGCCACTGAACAAACAGAGATCAAAGTCCTATAAAATCAACATTATGCAGCACCAAGGTCATATGCAGTCCAGAACAAGCTGAAGAGAAAAGATTAGAT